AAAAAAAAAAAAAAAATCACTCTCCCTCAGTGGTCAGAACCCAAGGAGATAATCTCTAATTGAATTACTATCAAAGACTGAATCTGCTTAAGAGCCCAGATCAATGTAGTACTTTTGGGAAACATTATGATACTCATTTTACTATGTTTTATCACTGGCCCCAGTACAAATCCCATTTTTATTGGTAAAATTTTCATTGTTCCACAATCAGAAGAAATCCTTAACCCTCATTACTGGCATTTAAAAAGCTCTTCTGTCCTTTTAAGATAGGGTCTCGCTATGCAATTCAGGCTGGCATTAAGTTCATTTTGTAGCCCAGGCTGCTCTGGAACTTAAACAATCCTCCTGCCTCAACCTCCTAAGTGCTAGGAGTACAGGCGTGGCCACTATGCCCAGCTAGAGAATACATTTTATGTCATCCTGCATGAATGTGCACCCACGCTGACTACTTCAGAGGAGATGAATGAAGCCAGGCTGAGCCCAAAGCGTTTTACATACCGTTTCTGCTGTTGAAGAGCACTGTTACAGGCAGATTCCTGTTGTGCCAGAGCTCCCTGAAGTGTGGACATGATCCGTCCCTGCCTTAAAGGTTGTACATTTTCTTTACTCAGCTCCCATTCATCTCCCTCCAGGGACATGGCTTCACTGTGAAGAAACAAAAACAAAAGTGATACCAGCACGGATTTCTCATAGCTCCCACCTGGTTTCCAAGTGTATAGTTGTAGGGTTACCTAATGGAAGAGAAAACTTGGCAAGGTTTTTGTGGTATCATAAAAATGAAATTTAAGATAAGAAAAGAGGGGCCAGGGAGATGGCTCAGTGGAATAAGCGCTTTCCCGGCAAGCACAAGGGCATGAGTTCAATCCCCAGTTCTGCCAAATAAATAAAAATAAATGAATAAGTAAATAGGTAAAGGACAGAAGTTCCACGCCTACTATTGAATGCATCATCTAGTTTAATTTGAAATTAGCAAACTGTTGGTCAGATTAACAGCCTATATTTTAACTGATGACTTCAAGCTGAAGCTTGGCTGGGTGCGATAGCTCACACCTGTAATCACAATCACTCAGGAGACAGAGGCAGAAGGATGGGCAAGTTCATGGCCTGGGCACCTTAACAAGACTCTACAGTATCTCAGAATAAAATCCTGGGCCAGGGAGATAGCTCAGCAGTCTAAGTGCCTGTCTGGCAAGTGCAAGGGCCCAGGTTTCATGCCCAGTACCACATGCTGTGCCAGCCTCACACTGAGCCAGCCACCAAGTCCAGGGGCAGTGGGATATGCCTGTAATCTTAGTGCTGGGGAGGCTGAGACAGGAGGATCCCTATGAGTCTGAGCTGCATAGTGAGACCCTGTGCCAAATACATAAATGAAAGATTTTAAAAACAAACAAAAAAGAATCAAAGTAAACTATGAAGGGCAGGAAATATTTCAGTGGTAGAGCACTTGCTCGTGTGCACAAGGCAACACAAAACAACACAAGTTTGTATATCCAGGTAGCCCAGACAAAAAGTTAACTATGCAAAATTAGCCCTCCACAGCCCCTACTAGAGGAACTCCCAAAACTTTTGGAAGGCAATTACAGTTTAGGGGGATGTACTCTGTACTTGAAAGCTCTAGAGTGGTCAGACAAAAGCCTGCTTCTAAGATGTTGTCTTTGGATGTTTAAAAAAAAAAAAAAAAAAAAAAATGACACTAACTTTCAAGTTAGAATTAAAATTAGTGAACACTAATCCAGATAATAGGTGAAAAAGTCTCTTCAAGAAAATAATTAAGCAGGCTGAGGACATAGCTCAGCAGCATAAGTGCCTGCCTGGCAAGTGCAAGGTCCTGAGTTTGATCCCCAGTACAAAAAAAAATAAAAAATAAAGTAGTAGGGCCCTGCTAATGCTGATCTGTAACCCTGGCACTCTGGAGACTGAGGCAGGATTCTGGGCTACAGAAACTGTAACTAGCCAGCCTGGGCTACATAATAAGACCTTGTCACACACACAAAAAAACAAAGTAATGAAGTCAGTGACTTAACAGTTTGGGTTATAACCACTCACATACTTTATTTTATTTATTTGTTTTTTTTGCGGAACCGGGGATTGAACTCAGGCCCTTGCATTTTCCAGGGAAGTGCTTATTCCACTGAGCCATCTCCCCAGCCCTACTCACATACTTTAAACTCTATTGTGTGGACACTATAAATGTGAAGGCCATCATGTCAGTTCTTTACCAGGGCCAAGTCCATGATACCGTACTAGTAAGCACTGAGTAAATGTTGAATTCATCTGAAGTATTTCTCTTGCTTTGAGACAGTCTCCCTAAATTGCCCAGTCTAGTCTCAAAAGTGTCCCAAACTAAAGTGGGACTGCTCCCTGCTCCTCCAGTTTTCACTCATCTCAAACAATAGCAATTCCATTCTTCCAGCTGCTCAAGCCAAAAATCTCACCACCAATTTTAATGCTCTCATCCCTGTCACTACCAGTCAGTCAGTCTTGTTGGCTGTACCTTCAAAATATTGCCAGAAATCTTTTTTTTTTCCATCCTCACTCAAATCACTCTTTTCTGGATTGATTTCAATAAGGTCATATCTGATCTCCATTTCATTCCATGTTTGCCTTTAGTTTATTTTTATTCAACACAACAGCTAACGTGACCACATTTAAAGCCAAGTCCTTCCAATGTCTGCATATTTACCTTTTTAAATTAATGTCTTTCTATTCTCCAGGTTCACTGTGCTCCATTACACAGCCCTTGGACATGCCTGGGGCAGGTTCCTCGCCTCCTTCCTGTTCTTTCTTCCCACTTACCTCCCCCAGAATCAAGCACCGCCGGCGCTTGAGTAGCCTGCAAGTCCTGACCCAGCTGATACCCTCTCAATGAGGCCTCCCTTTCAATCTATCTAAAGCTGCTCCAGCCCCCACCCAAGATTTCCTATCTTCCCTTCTTGGAATTCTTTTGGAACGACCACCACCTAATTTTTGCATTTCTAGTCTGCCTCCCTCACCCTTACCCCACTCCAACACCCTTCATGAGGACTGAAACTTCCGTGGCCTTTGTTTATTAGCTGCACTCAATGTTTAATAGGCGATTTTTTTTTTTAAAATAAGGAAAAGTACCAACGTGCAGAAAAGGGCTTTTTTACACCTCTACCGTTACTGGGGAAGTAACACATACCACAAATTGAGCATGTGTTTGGAAGCAGTTACTTTAAAAATACTTTGAGGCCGGACGTGGTGGTGCACGCCTGGAATCCCAGCACTCGGGAGGCTGAAGCACGAAAATGGTTGTCAGTTCGAGACCAACCTGGGCTAGAAAGTGAGTTCAAGGCCAGCCTGAACTGCGTAGTGAAACCCTATCTCAAAAAGACAAAAACAAACAAAAATTCTGAATTTTCCCAGCACCCCATAAAGTAGGACTAATAACAGCCTTTTCCAAATAAAAGATGTGTCCAAACTCAAACCGCGAGCGAACGGCGCCAGCTCTCTCTACCCCGGTGGGCCCTTGCACCCCTCCAGGCTCCTCGGACCTCGCGGGGCTCCCAGAGGCTCTTCTCCCTCACCCACCTGAGATCGGCTCTTTTCTTCGCCTCAGCCATCCTGCATTTCTTTCCTCAGAGCTGCCGACCGTCTAGGCTTCCTCTGCAACCTGCCCTCAAAGCCACCGAAATGACAAAAGGGTGCTTCTGGACGAGATCACGCAGCCAGCTCTCACAAACCGGCCAGCTCACGCGCCCATTCCGAGCCGCCAAGTTTCAAATTTAACGTTCCCGCGCGATCGACGTGGCTACGCCCTCTCCCTACATGCACCTCTCCCTCGAGGCATGCTGGGATACGTAGTTTATCCTGGGTTTAAGACCAGGGCCTGGTCGCGAGGCATAATGGGAGTAGTAGTTCGGGCGTGGGCAGTCAGTGGCCACCTAGTGCAGCATGTTTAGGCGATCCAAGGTCTCCCAGTGTTCTCAGCGACTCGGCTGTAAGAAGAGTCTGATCCAAAGGAGACTTTCAGCGCCAGAATTACTTTGGTGCCTTGAGTGTAGGGACATGTCTGTTCTGGTATTTTGGCCGGGCTATGGTCACTCCCTTCTTTCCACCAAGTCCCAGGCCTTCAGTTCTTAGGCCACTATGATCCAGTTGTTTCCTGCGCAACCCTCAAAACAAAAACTGGATTCTAATTTAGTGGGTGGGTTTTTTTGTTTTTGTTTTTGTCATATACTAGTACTGGTTTAGTACTACATTTTGTTTCTCAGGGTCTTGTTCATTCTACGCCTTCTCAATTTTGACCACTATCTTGGAAGTGTACCATTTGATTTTTTTTTTTTAATTAAATTTTTTGAACACCTGTCTTTGTAGCCTAGTCAAATGTCTCATAAATTGGGATACGTAGTTTACAACATATAGCACAATGAGGCTTAAAGTCCTTGCTTATTTCATTAAGCAGGGGAGGGAGAGACTAAGAGACACAGAAGGTGCTGTGTGGTCTTACTTGGAATCTGTGTTGTGGTTAAGCTGGACTATGACTGGACAGCCAACACAGAGGCAGAGAGCATTACAGGCTTCAGGTGCAACCACGATGAAGCGGCAAGTCAGGAGTAAGTCCATACACCTGGGGGAGGGAAAGAGGCAAATACCCAGTTTAAGAGCCTAGTTTCTAACTGGGGGGTGAAACAGAAAAAGTAGACAATGAACTAGACATGGCTCTTGTGTTCTAAAAACTTTAGAGTGGGTGGGGGAGGTAATTCAGTGGTCTAAGCACCTGCCTGGCAAGCGCAAGGTCCAAGGTTCAATCCCTGGTTCCACATGCCATGCTGGCCCCGAAAAGGGGCACTGTGGTATATACCTGTAATCCCAGAGTTGGGGAGGCGATACAGGAGGATCACTATGAGTCTGGACTGCGTAGCAAGTGCCTGTATCAAATAAATAAATAAATAAATATTATATATATATATATATATATACATATATATGAAAAAAAAATTCAGGCAGGCTGGTGGGAGACATAAATGGGGAATTTCAGTACATTGCTGCCATACCCAGAGATAAACTCTGGAGGCCATGCAAGCATTCAGGAAGAGCTTCCAACCCAGGTCCTTGAAAGAGGAGGAAGTCAGGGAAATTTCCCTAGAGAAGACAGTGAACAGGAGGGACAGGGAAGGCTCTCCACAAATGATTGAGAACAAGACAGGAATACAGCACCTACGTGTGTCTATAGTACATATGTCCCTCTCTTAACCATTGTCCAGTGACACCCCACTTCATCCTTTTGGACCTCCACGTTGGCCCATCAAACTTTAATTGTCCTCAAGTTTGGTATCAAGCCTGCTTTTTCTACAGAGAAAATTATGGGCTATAAACAAGATCTTCATTAAAATCTCAGTCTCCTCCCACCTGCCCTGGTTTGGGTTTGTTTCCTAGAATTTATGTTGGAAATCTCATTCCAAAGTCACCTACTGATGACATTTGAAGATGAGGCCTTTGGGGTTAATGAGATTAGATAAAATCTTTATGGTGGGACCCACTGTCATGGCATTACAAGAAGTGGCTTTTTAGGAAGGGAAAGGGAAACCCAAGCTAGCCCATTTTCTAGGGCTCATCATGGGATGCCCTCTGCCAAGTTATGGTGCAGCATGAGCCCTCACCAGATGCAGCACCATGCCTTTGGACTTCCCAGCCTCCAGGACTCTGAGCCAAATAAAGTTATTCTTTATAACTCCTCTCCCCACAAAAAATTAATCATCCTGAGTCTCCTTCTGTTACCTATCATATAGGAACTGAATCATACTAAGATGTTGCTAATAGTGTTATAGTACAGTGTTTTCCGCAGCATGTTCTAAAATATCAGTAGATATCACAGGGGGCTTGGGATGTAGCTCAGGGGTAGAGAGTTTGTCCAGCATGGAGAAGGTCCTGAGATCAATCCAAAACACCACAAATAAAAGAGAATAATAATTAATATATGTTACAGAGAAAAAGGAGTGTGGTGGTCAATTATTTCTGAAATGTTGGATTAAATGAACCCTAGAGCTCTTTATATGCCAAAGTTGGGGCTGGGGAGATACTCAGTAAAATAAGTGCTTGCCTGGCAAGTGCAAGGTCCTGAGTTTAATCCCTGGTACCACCAAAAAAAAAAAAAAAAAGTGTACCATGAATTTCCAAGGAGGAGAGTGTATTAGCTTCCTATAATAGGGAGCCCTTTTTGGTCCTTGTATCCAGAAAGTTTGCATTTGTAATCCCATGAATAAATTATTGGAATCCCATCAAGTTAATTCCAATCTACCACTTCCAGTGAAACCCACAGCAAGAATAAAGACACTAAGGCATATTTATAGTTATGGGGAGCCAAGGGGTCCTAAGTCCAGCCATGGTGATGGCTATCTGGAACAAAGGCCTTAACTGAGGGCTGAACCCAGGTTTCATTGAGTCATGAGGAGGGAGTGGCTTGAGGATGAATGATTGAGAATTGCAGGAAGTAGATGAGTACTATGAGCTGGGCTAGGTAGGAGGCCTGCATTTACCTCTGTGATATGCAGAGAGAAGGATATGCAGAAAAAGTAATTTGCATTATGTTATCGAGATAGTATCTAATGTTTTGGGGTCCAGTGCTTCAGCTTTGCTGTGTAATCTTTCAAGCTCCAGGAAGTCATAGCCTCTACCTCAAGGCTCAATCCCAGCCAATAGTGTGGAATATTGGCTCTTTGTCCTGTCTTGACCCTGCTCATATTAAAGAGCAGCAGGTGTGGGTTATCAAGGAAACACATGTGCCATCTTCACATCCTAACACCAGCTCCTCAGCTAGACCAACATGCATTGCTTAAAGCCAATTGAAGGGATAAGGAAAAACGCTAGCTAGCTCTGTACCTATCAATACATGGAAATAGGCTCAGGCACAGCCAAAATGGAGACTACTGCTCCTCTTTCAAGGAGAGTCACTCAGGTGGTCCTCCACACCTATAGCTGCTGTAATGTGCACAAACTTAGTAGGATTTTGTTTGGGTTTTTTGTTTTGTTGATTTTTTTTTTTTTTTTTTTTTTTTTTGAGCAGGGTCTTGCTATATAGTTCAGACTGGCCTTGAGCTCACTATGTAGTCCACACTAGCTTTGAACTCATGACAATTCTCCTGCCTCAGTCTCCTGAATATTGGTATTATAGGTGTGCATCATCATTCCTAGAAATTTAGTCGTTTAAAATTTAACGAATTTATATAGTGTGATAGTTCAGAAGTTTGTCACAGATCTCACTGGGATGATGAAAGCATTAAAGAGCTTTCTTTCTGGAGAATTTGTTTCTTTTTTCCCACTTTCTAGAGGTGCTCACTGGCATTTTCTGGTTCATGGTCCCCTTCCTCCATCTCCAAAGTTAGGAATATAGCATCTGTTGGCCCAGCTTTCAATGTCCCATCTTTCTGTCTGGCCCACAGTCAGGAAGATCTGTCTCCTGTTGAGCTCTTGTGTGATTAGATTAGCTCCACCCAGGTCACCCAGGATAACCTTTCCATTCCAGTCCCTCTGCCTTCATTATGTCTGTCAGGTCCTTTTGCTGCATACAGTAACATTTTAACAGGTTCCATGGATTAGGATATGGGTATCTTTGAGGATCATTACTCAGCCTGTCCCAGGAAGACAAAATATGTTGGCATCTGTAAACTTATTTGATCATAAAGAAACCTCTGCTAAGATTGGCACATACCTATAACCCTGACTCCTTGGGAGACTGAAGTAAGAAAATCACAAATCTGAGGCTAGCCCAGGCAATTTTGTGAGATTCTGTCTCAAAATAAAGGGAAATGGGTATGTCCCTATGGGTACAGCACTTGTCTGGCACATGTGAGGCCCTAAGTTTAATCCTTAGTGGCAGAAAAAGAAACCTTTTGACACATTTTTTTAAGAAAAGGTTTTGGACCTGTTCCATGTTATGCCTAAAATGTTTGATATTCAGATAGATAGTGAGGTTAAGCTTAACAGCCTAGGTTGTATGGTAATAACAATAAGCTTGTCTTCTGGATGGTTAACAACGTACGTTTGCAGACCAAAATTAGAGAAAAAGGAGGGCTGCAAGGAAAGCCAACATTTTGGCCCTAACCTTCCAAGGTCAATTAAGACTCAGGACATATGAGAACTTGTACTGTGATGTCATGTAACTCAATAGTGTCCCAAATTTTCTGATCAAGATTATGGGGCCAAAGAGGAAAGTTATCGATGATGTAGAGTGTGCCTAACGAGAGTCACATGGAGAGAAAACATTCTCTCGGGCTTTCACAGAGAGCACATTGGCCAAGCAATGGCCGTGACTCATCCACATGGCTGACACTGACAAAGGTTCTACAACCTGAGGTACAGGATCTCAGGATAAATCCTGAGGGGATTTCACTGACCTTCTCAGACCCAAAAGCTACAACTCTTGTTGCATAGGTCCTACTTTACCTTGGTCTTAACCATCCAGCAGAAAAGTATAAAAATGAAGTATATGAAGTAAAGCCATGGTGTTATATTGAGCTGTAGGGGATTCAGGTTAACAATTTCTGACATTGCCAGTGAAACGGAAGATACTATTATGGACCTCTGAACTCTTTTAGACTATTTTGCTGAGTTTACACACCTATAATATTTAAATGATGAAATTTAACAAAAAAAGGGGATACAGATGAATGTCCATTTTGTATCTGTGTATTTAAAGTGGTTAGGATAGATATATAGTTACATTCTCTTAATGAATAGAGGGATTTGTTCTAATGGTGTTTT